AGGCTGAGTGACTTGTTCTTCCTCCTGTCAACAGTGTGGCAGCAATGCCTGATGATACCACTGCAAGGGCAATCCTGTTTGTCTGCTGGATTTTGGTCAAAAGAAGATTGAGGAGAAAAGTTTTCCCAGTTCCACCTGGAGCATCCAGAAAGAAGATGACATCACTCCCATTGAAAACTGCTTGAGTAATCTTGTTCAAGGCTTCTCTTTGGTCTGGGACCAGACTTGGCTCATTATCTTGTATGTATTTAGTAAGGTGGTCAATGTTGTAGTTGGTCTCTCTCAAAATTTCATTTATCCGCTCATTATCATTGTCTCATTGTGGGTCAGGAAGGCCACAAGTTTTGAGGCCAGAGCCACCCAAAGCCTTGATCTTGTCCTCAATGATAATGAGAGCTTGATTGAACATGGCATCACTGTACATGGCATCACATGACTCCAACCCTTCCACTGAGTCTCTTTCTTCTGCTACCAGTGTGTGTGTGAGGGGGGGGAGTGCTTGTGTGAATGTGTGTAGGAATCAAGCTGTACAGTACAGTGTTCATTTAATAAAACTGTTATTTGGACCCCTGAGTTGGGTTTTGCTTGACTACGGTTCTGGCCCTGCTCCAATCTCTGCTCCTCGCCCCTCTAACTTCTGTCTCATTTCTTCTTTTCCTGCTTCTGGCTCACCGCCACCTCCAACACCTGTCCCATGCTCCTGTGGCTCCAGCTGTCCTGAGCTCCCCTCTGCCTGCAAACTCCTATTTCTTTGTCACTGTCTCATCCTCACTGCCTTTTCCCTGGATCTCTGCCACTTCTATTGCCTCGTCTCCACTGCCTTTTTTCCTGATCTTTGCCACTGTTATTGCCTTGTCCCCACTGCCTTTTCCCCTGATCTCCCAGCTTTCTACCTCTGTCTCCCGGCAGTTTCTTCCTTGCCTCTGGGCTTTTTCCCTTGCTTCCACCCAGGCACCAGGTGAGCCTGAGTAACCCTGGGGCCACTTGACCTTAAGTAACCCCAAGTCTCAGTGTCTCAGCCAGCTTCTCTCTAGTCTACCAGTTCTAATCCCGGTTCCGCCAACTTTTACTCCCCACACTTTAACTCTCTCTCTCACCCTAACCTTGCCCCAAGTATCCCACGTACCCCAAACACACACACACACACACACACACTGTACCATCCAAGTTAGGAACTTAACTGTGTGTATGTGTAGGTGGGTTGTATGTGCATGAACTGGTGAGTTTGTATATAAATATATATGTCATTGTGTGAATGATATATGAATTAGTGATCTGTTTATGTGTACAGAGTGTGTGGGTATTGACAACTGATTGTTGTCTAATTTTAGTGTGTATGTGCTTGAATTGGTATGCATGTACCTAGGCTAGTTTGGATGTGTATGTGCCTGAGTTGGTAGTGTGTATGTGTGTGTGTGCACCTAATTGATTTGTGTGTATGCATATGTGCAATTGTGTCACACCCTCCTGTCTAACAGCACAATATTGAGATCCTGAGAGTTAGCCTGACCCCACAGGGCAACACCTACTCCTTTTCCATTATACATGTGGATGAGGCAACATGACACTTGCCATATAGAAGATAAACTAGGGATCCTGCAGAAGGACAACGTCTAGGCTAGGCACCTGGGGGGCATCTTAAGAAACCATGGGCATTGTCACCCAGTGCATAAGCAACAGTGTTCCTGCGTTCAAGCATTTACTTCAGTTCACTAAGTTTCCTAGGCACTCTCAATTTAACTTAATGAAGGTTAGAAACTTATACATCAGAGAAGTTAAATTTTACCTCTGGGCCTCTGTGTCTAAACTGCTCAGGGCTTCAGGGACAAAATGCTACCATTCCATTAGGGAGTAGTCATAAATAAGTCATGTTCATGCATTATCAGCATTTAGTCGCTGCAATGCTAAACAGTTATATACAAGGTGAAATTTAGAGGTAACAAGTGTAAGTACAGTTTTGTCAGTTCTCTCTCTGTAAGGGACAAAAAGATTCTTAGACATAAGTGTTTGGGGCATCTAATAGTACAGTGATAGAGAGATGGATAGATGTATGGATGGATTTACTTGTGATCAGAAACGTCCAAGAGTTGGAAGAGAACTCACTATAATTTAGTCTACAGTCTTCGGCTTGGTAAGTTTCCTGATGTGTTAGTTATATTCAAAGTATTTCAATGGAAGATAATTCATAAGACAGATTTCAATGGTATGTTTCCTGAAGTTTGCTAGTATTTGATTCAAACTTCTTAATATATTTTGAACCAAAATGACAGAAGAATAGATCTTTTCTTTCTGATTTGGGGGATATTTTAACAAATAACCTAGTGATCTGGTAGATAAAATGCTATTCTTTATTCTCTCTGTGTGTACCTACGTAACAGTTGTCCAATCTGTCAGGTTTTCTGTGCCCCTATTTGTTGCATTCTAAAAATGGATTGTGTTAGAGATTGTTGGGGGGAGACAGGAGGACAACTTTGATTGTAAGCATGTCCTAACTTAATACATTGCAATGAGTGTCTGTTTTCTTCATTAAAACTTTAAGATGTGACTAAAAAGTTAAGAATCAAATCATACTTGCTTTTCAGTGAAATGGGAGCTAATTAACACTTATTGATTCCTTTGACAATTAAAATAATAATTACCAGGACTCCCAAAAATCCTTTAGATTGGCAAGGACTCTGGTAGGTCTGGTCTCAGAAAGTCTTCATCTTCATCTCATTGTAATCTGCACATGCAGCTTAAAAGATGGAGCTCTGTACAATGCAGCCTTTGTGTTACACGGGCAGTTCATAGACCCCACAAGAACCTGTGCTTTGTACTGAGGCAATGGGGAAGCACAAAGGTAAATGGAACAGGGGTGACGATGCTTAGTAAACCATGTGCTTGATTATGAAATCATCTCTGTTTGTTTCTCTCTGCCCCTTTCAGCATTTGAAAAACAGAATGACTAAGCTGTAATGAAATTCATGTTTATGAATTAACAAATATTTCAGTTTCCTCATCCCTTAGCTTATAGCACTGCATTCAGAATAATCAGTTTTCCTTAATACTTTCAATTTAACACCTCCCATAATAAAGGACACCTTTTACTGAGTTGATAGCAATAACTGTATGAAGCATCATTGCAGTATGAGACCACTACCTCTCCATTTTATTACACAAATATCCCTATAACAGTTCATTTGTATATGTGAGAGTTGTACTTTGCTTTTATGCATCCACATAGCAGTTATGCAGGTCCATTCTGGACACATGCTTAAATTTCAGTCACAAAACATGCAGCAAGACAGAAACCTATGACTTGCAAGTGTTAGACTCCCATGTACCAGCTTTAATAACTGAGTGGTTAGTTGCAGTTTACTTTTCAGACACATTTAGACTTTCCATTTAGACACCTTGATAAGAAGGGCTCATAATTTGTGGAATGGGCATGGGAGTGTGCTTTCAAAAGTAACAACTCAGAGTCTTAAAAGTGACTTTGTTATCTGAGAGAAGTGATTGCTTTAAATTGTTGGAGTGTTTCCTTTCTGTCAAATAACAGCTTTTAATTTTTAAAAGGTATATTATATTGAGGACATTTCATTAAAAAAAAATTAAAAGATTTTTATGAAAAAGTAAATAAAGTCTAGATTTATTTTGAAGTTCAATTTCTTCTCATTTTCCATTGCTCCTCTTGCTCTTTCCTTCCAGACTATGATCTTATTGCATCTATATTCTGGGTGTGTGTGTGTGTGTGTGTGTGTGTGTGTGTGTGTGATCAGTTATTTTTTTTGAGATTTTGCTTTCTGTGTGTGATTCTTAATTGGCAACACAGCCCCTTTTAGCTTTACATTTGTGTCTAGGCAGCATCTATGAAAGACATTGTTTTGGTTCAAATATTGTGATATCATAGCCCCTCCAATATGTACATTGACATTCATAATGCCCTTGGGCGGTAAGGCAGTGCTTTCACTTGCATTTTATGCATGAGGAACCATGGCTTATAGTAACTCATCCAGTAGCATGTTATAGTAGATTGGGAGTCCTGTTGTAACAATGATTGTCCTAGGAAAATGTGAGAACAAAGTTTGTTTGATAATATCTTTTATTAGAGTAGCTCTTTATAGTTGGGAGAGATGTTAGACAACCTTTCAACCTGAGGAAGCTTGTGCCTAAATCTCATATAATATCTCTTCCAACTATTTAGTTAGTCCAGAAAAAAAGATATTACCAAACAGAATGTGCTTTTTGCTTAGCCAACATCATATAGAAATCCTAAGAGAAATACTGGAGTTCAAAAAGATGGTCTTAAGATGACTACCCCAAACTACTCACCACAACTCCTAGACCATTGTTTTTCTCCAGTCTAAATCAGCTATTCTTTTTCTCATATCAAGCCATCACAGAGCTCCCCTTATTTTAAGTTTAGACAGACATGATTATAACTATCATACTTACTGCCAGCACATTTTATTCCTTTTCTGTGTTCAGTTATAATTATTAGTGTTGATGCTATTGTAGGATCTTGTGGCACTGGTCATAAACAAGACAGCCACTGTCCTTATAGTATTTCTGTCACAGTAGATGACCTTGGAGACAATGCAGTATAAAACATGTATCATTGTGAGTTTTTCACCTATAGCATATCTCAAAGTGGTATTGACAATAAAGAAACCTGAGTAACATGATCCACTTTTTCTTGAGCTAAGCAATGTCAGTGAAATGCATCTTTTTAGCTGATGAACATTTCACCAGATAAAATGTCAAGTATCCACAAGCAGCAGATTCATAGGTAAGATGAGTTTTCAATTTAGTCCAATCAAAAAGCACACCTCTTACATAACTGTAATATGAATCTAATTAAAAATGATTGTGCACAAGAAAATGGTTCCCTTTCTTAAAAGTTCCAATGTATCTTCTTCAGGGGTATGAATGCCAGCTTTCTTTCTGTCCTTACTAACATCATTTTTCTCACTCAGAACCTGACCCTTCCGTTTCTCTCCACACAGTTTGTAAAGCAAGAAATGTCAAATGAAACAACCGTGACTGAGTTCCTGCTTCTGGGATTCTCTGACACTGTAGAACAGCAGATCATATACTCCGTGGTATTTCTCATAGTTTACCTGGCAGCCCTGATTTGGAATCTGCTCATTATCCTAGTTGTAGCCTTCAGCCATCACCTCCACAGTCCTATGTATTTCTTCCTGGGCAACTTATCTTTCCTAGACATCTGCTACATCTCTGTCACTGTGCCCAAATGCATTGCCAATTCCCTAACCAGTACCAGGGTGATCTCTTTCTGTGGGTGTGTTGCTCAAGTTTTTCTGCTTGTCCTTTGTGGAGCTGCAGAGATGGCATTACTCACGGTCATGGCATATGACCGCTATGTAGCAATCTGCCTTCCTCTGCATTACAGGGAAATCATGAATTGGGGAGCGTGTGTCCAAATGGCAGCTGGTTCCTGGATCTGTAGCATGGTCTATTCAATGATACATACTGTTACCACGTTTAGGTTAGACTTTTGCCAGTCCAATATTTTAGATAATTTTTTTTGTGACATTCCTCAGCTGCTGAAGCTGTCTTGCTCTGACACACTCCCTAATGAAATTTTGCTTTTTTTAAGTGGTATATTTTCTGGTTCTATCTGCTTTACTTTAGTACTTATGTCCTATATTGATATCTTTGTCACGGTCATGAGAATCCCTTCCACACAAGGCAAGTACAAAGCTTTCTCTACCTGCCTGCCCCATCTAATCATCTTTGGCTTATTTGTCTCTACATCCTTGTTTGCATACATGAGGCCAAAGAGTATCTCGTCCCCGTATCGAGACGTGCTGGCTGCTGTGTTCTATGCTGTCATGCCACCAACAGTGAATCCACTGATTTATAGCCTGAGGAACAGAGAGATAAAAGTGGCATTCACAGTATTGATGAGAAGGATGCTTTTCCATAAGAGAAATCCTCTTTTTTAATGTTTATTTTCCCTTCCTTGATTGACAAACTGAACTTTATTTAAAGGAAATTAATGGAACGTGTGATAAAAGATCACCAGCCCATCTGCTGGCATCCTGTTAGTGACTGGTGGAAATTGCATTATATCTGTATATATGAAATGAGTCAGGAAGCTTTATTTCTGAATTTAATGTATGCATATTATAAACAATAATCAAGCAAATGTTATACTTGTCTGTCTTTGCTTGCCATTATAAGTAGAGCTAAGAGGAACATTGTTCCAATACCACTGGGAAATTTGAAGAAAAGTAGACTGAAGTCTCTTCATTACATTGACTCAAAAGGTCTTGATCCTAGTGAAACTTAAAAAAAATCCAGTTTCTTTAACTAAACTGCAAAATATGTCAATATAAAAATACTTCAGTAGCCTTTAGGAATATCTCTAATACACCTTCCAGAGTACATGACAATTTCCCATGATGCTGAGGTAGCTTATAGGGATCACTGATAGTGGGGTGTGTAACCAAAACTATTTTGATCATTAGGTATTTAGTCTTTGCAGGAAAACAAAAGTTTTCCATTAATCAGACACTTTTCTTAAGATTAAAAAACACCTTGTCACACTATGCAGATTTTGTGATTTTGTTTCCCCTGAAATGTAGATATTTAAGTTGATATGGTAGACACAGCATTTTCAGTAGGCTATGCACTACCTAGGCAGTGACAGAGGTAAGATTTTGCATCCATTTTGAATGTGTGACTGTGTAAATGGAGCCAGCCAGAAATGAGACATCTCATTCCCCTCCACTTTGACAGGATATATAAGCACTGACATTAGTACAGCATTCTAACCACTGCATCACAGGTTAAGCAGATGGGCAAGCTGTGTGGAGAATATAACTCCACGCCAGCTTATTTTATACTACCTCTGGATAAATGTACCTTCAGAGATGGATATCCACTTGAAACACCTGTAGAGATTATACTGAGCATGCTAATAGAGCTTCTGTAATATTATGCACAAGTTCCAAGGAGCTCCCAAGAAGCTTAGTTCTTTCCCAGTGTAAACTGTTTAATTCTTTCTTCACTTTTAGATCATCATACCCTATGGTTGGTCTTATTTTGAGTGCTTGTCTTGCTTCATCTGCTGTGAATATTTTTTACTACTTAATTGAGAAAAGCATTTCAGAATAACCTGACCTGTGGACATTTTAGACTAAATCATATTTTATATCTATCTATCTATCTATCTATCTGCAAATAAAGTTTTAGGGAGCACATACATGGATGCTTCTATTCCTCCCTATGTATGTAGCTATGGTGAATCCTACTGACTGTTTTCATAGTGCAAAAATAAGGTGAGTACAGCTTTGCAAATGGAAATATAATACAAACTCTGCAAAAGTAGCAACAATTGCGATAGATATCTAAGCATACACATAACTATAAATATAGAGAGAACTATATATATAGTTGAACCACTGGGACAACAGGAAGACAATACCTCAAGCACTCTATAGTCTGACTCTTGAAGCCAGCCCACTGGAGGGCAAGGAGGAGAAGAGTTAGCCAGTGGGAAAGTGGTGCAAAGGACATTGGCCTGATGGAAGGGGCAGCTTCTCCCCACAAAGCAGAAACTGTCCCTCTATTGTTCATGTAATGCAGGGGTTGTTAACAATGTGTATGCATACCCCCAGGGGTACTTAGGCCACAGTGGGTATGCGTGGGCAGGCAGGCAGGTGCAGATGAAGTGTACCCTGGGGCGTGGCAGTGGTCTCCCCCCTGGCACATTCTCACAGTTTGTCTCATACCCGGGGGAGGGGGAGGAGCACGTCGGGCGCCGCTGGCCCCACACGACAGTGCCTCCCCCCAACCTCAGCTCACCCTCCTCCACCCCCTTCCTTCCTGTAGAGCAGGGAGGATCTGAATTGCAGGGGCAGGAGTCAGGGGAGTGTGCTTCTGTGCCTGCCTGGCCAGCCAGATGCAGAGGCAGCCACTGCCATCACCACCCACCACCCCATGCCGAGGGGCATCACATGATTGGCCAGGCGCGAGGCACCTCAGCAGCCCATGGAGAAAAGTGGTGCAGGCACGGCACAGGACAGTGCATGGCAGTAACAAGGGCACTGGCGGCAGCTGCCGTGTGTGAACCCCCTCTCCCAGCACCACCACAGGGCATGGGTGGTGCATGTCCCTGGATCTGCATGGGCTGCCATTCCTGGCTGGGGCTGGGGCTGTGCCAGGCTCTTCCTGGTGGGGGTTTGGGCCACGCTGTGCTTGGGCTGGGTGGTGGCTGCACTGGGAGTGGGGTTGTGGGGCCTACGGTGAATTCTGGAGTGGCTGCAGCCCTTCTCCCACTGATGCCGCTGCCTGTCCCCAGCGAAGCCCAGCCCAACCCTCTCCTGGGAAGAGTACGGTGCTGCCCTGGCCCCAGCCTGGCCCATGCCCAGATCCAGGAGCACACACCCCACTATGCCCTCCTAGGGTGTGCACAGAGGCGGGAGCTACCCCGCTACAGCACTCTCCAGACAAGCTGCTCGCAGCTCTGTCCTGCACCCACCCCACCCTAGCTTTGCAGTGGCTACCCCAGCCCCACTCCCTCCCTCACTGTGGTGGCCTCAATCTGCCCCCCTTCCCCCTTGGTTGGTTTCAGGGTGGCCAGGAGCTGGAACCAACTTCCAAGGGAAGTGGTGCATGCTCCTACCCTGGGGGTCTTTAAAAGGAGGCTAGACATTTACCTAGCTGGGGTTGTTTGATCTCCACATTCTTTCCTGCCCATGGCACGGGGTCGGACTCGATGATTTGATTAGGTCCCTTCTGACCCTACCAACTATGAAACTATGAAACTATAAAAACAAGAAAAATTATAAGGGGGTACAGGAGTTGGAACTTTGAGTCAGAAGAGGTACATTTATTAAAAAAGTTTGAAAACTCTGAATGTAATTAATATTTTAATACAAGTTTAAAATAAAGCCATTGAGGGACAAAGGTTGGACAAGGTGGTGTCCATGTCACTAAGCAACACTTTCTCAGGTTAACTCTTCTCCTTCTGACCCTTCATATCTCACTCTCCTAGTTGCCCAGTGGACCAGCTTCAAAAGGAGGGCTTGAACACATGGACACTGTATAGCCCATGGCCTCATAAATAAAGCACCTTGCTTGCATTCAGGAAGTGCACATACAAAACCCTTATGAGTTATGTGGCATAGGTTTTCTCCTTCCTGGATGAATTCCCTAAGCACTAGATTATCTCCCCCTCCTGTCAGGAATCCATATGCCTGGGCGATCCTATTTTGCCACATGTGAATATATATTTTAAACACTATGAAAATGCCTTTCCTCAGAGAACTGATATTTCCTTTTCGTGCACCAACACTTTCACCTGGTGAGAGCAATGGAAAACACCCTTGTTCTGATTGGCCAAGTTTAGAGAGGTGTGGTGGTCAGCTTTGTGACTGCTCCATAATCTTAGACAACAGTGAAAGTATAAAGGACCATGCCTGTTTCATACAGCTTGAGCTTTCAGGCTTTGTACACATGGAGGAGCTCTGGGGTCTGGGTTCTCAGTTCTGGGAAATTCAAAATAGTGAGGATTCCCAAGAGCCAAAGTAAATAGATCTTAAAGCCCAATGGTTCATGGCCTCACAGGGCACGTCTAAATGAGCGCGCATGTGCCTCTTGCCCTGTTTCAAATCCCAAGTCCTCTCAAAGGGCTCGTCCACACATGCAAGCACATGCGCTTGCAGCAGCTCAAATAGAAGCGGTGTAAATTTGAGCTGGGGCTTTTTGCCTCAGCACACATGCTCAGACATGCACTTTGTTGTGGAGCAAATTGTGCCACTTGGGGCAAAATAACCCTGCCTGGCTCCTCCCGAATCTGCAGCCAGGGGGAGCTAGAGCCCCAGGGCCAGCACCTGAGCTGTCCCCAGCAGTATAAAAAGCTGCCCTGTCTTGACCCCAGCAGTACAGAAAGATGCCCTGTCAAGTAGTTCAGGGCTACTCACTCTCAGGAGTTTCTGGGGCCCAGCCAACTGGTACCTGGGACACTACCCCTTGTGCTAGCTGGACTGCTGAAGCAGCCCTGAGAGTTCCCTGCCCCATCTACCCACTGCAGCAGTCTGGCAGTGCGGGCTGCTGCCTGGCTGTGACCTGCTGCACACCTGCCAAACCCGGATGAGGCATCTGCCCCTCCG